CTATAAAAAAAAAAGTTGAAAGTACAGCATAAAATCCATGTTAAACAACCCCCCTATGTGTCCCAAAACTATTTTTTGGTTTGCAGAACCGCTTTTATATTTAGTAAGCAAGTGAGCAGTTAACATCTGAAATTGCATGGGATCTTCAGAGGATGTTGTGGAGCATATTTAAAAGAGTAGTGGCAGCACTGGGTGGCAGGCCAACATAAAGGAGTACACTGCAGAATAAATGTTTCACCCAGCCCCAATCCAGCAGCCAAGAAGTGAGGCAATCCCACATGGACTGGCTGACCTGCTGCTGTTTTTGGAAATGTTCCCTGTCCCTAGTGATGGAGGCAACTATTCTAGCTAACTTCTGTTGTTGTGTAATTGTCTTCATGAAACACACAACAGCTCTGATTAATGTACATACAGACCATCCCCATATTCTCTTAATAACTGATCTAAGGCCAGCCTGTTTTCCTAAAATGGAAGTGCTGGTTTGGGTAGCTATTTGCAGAATCCTGTCTACCAAATAAAGGGGGCTTGTCAAGTGCAATAATGTATGTTACCCACCAATCAGTACTTAGGGGCACAGGAAAAGAGGATATCCCTTACCTCCATGGGAGAAATCAGCAAGGAGCAAATCCAACAAGTTTATTTTGCAGGCTAGCATTTTCAATCACATGAAGCTTGAACTGAACAAAAATATTGCTCTCCCAGCCTATTCCACTATCCCCCATTTGCTGCATAAAAAGACTACAAAAAAGCAAAAGTCCAACAGAAATCATGGTTGCTTAATAGTAATAAGTCCACAAAGATTTTTTTTTTAAAGTTAATCAACTAAATTTCCAACAGTCCCAACAGAGTGAGTTATCAGCAGTCCATTCTCTGCCTGTGAAAGTCAGTGGTTTATATAGTCAACAAAATCTGGAATGGAGCCTCCCAGGTTGGATCAAGAGTCTTGCAATGAAATCTCCCAGCTGAAATGGATGGATCTGGTCACTCAGAGGAACTGTGGCCCCCATCGGCTTCTTCCAGAGCGCTCTCTGTTGCTTCTTGTAAGGATAGAAAGTGTTCAGCAGTTCATTCTCCCCCCCCCCAACCATGGATGCAGTGAGATGGCAGGGAGGCCCCCCTTTTGTGAGTCCTTGGCCTAGAAGAAGCTCCTGGAACTTTCCGCATAGGCTCCAGGAGCAAGCCAGTCTACAACAGGTTGGGTGGCACAATGTCCTTTCACACATAGTTGCTGAGCCAGAAGATGAAAAACGTGGGGCAATCAGTTGCCTATTAGGAACCATCTGGAAGGAACTGTTTCAAGGAGCATCATAGAGACATTCCAAATAGCAGTCCCAGCATCTGAAATAAACTTCTTATAAGCAATAGCAGAGGGAACTTGAAACACAAGACTGAAAGACGCAAGGTTGTTGAGCAGCCAGTTTAGCAGCCTCATCAGCAAAATGATTACCTTTAGTAATAAAAGGAGAAGTGCGTCCAAAAGTGAAACACCCAGCTCTGCATGACCAATTTAGCAGCCAAAGGTAATAAAGAATCCTCTCAGCTTCCATAAGGTACCTGCAGCAGGGCAAATACCCAAAGCTTAGAGTCAGTGAAGATATTAACAGTTTTGTCTCTGGCAATACAACAAGCTTGAATTAAGGCAGTTAGTAAGTTCAGCTGCTTGGGCCTCCAAGGAAGGTGGCAAGGGTTCCACCTAGCAGATCAAAAAAAAATTGCAGCCCCTGTTAAGTGGACTTCATCAACCACAAAGGAAGACCAATCCAAAAAGAGTTAAAAGTCAGGATTTTGTAAGGACACATTAGTAAGGTCGGAATGAGGTTTCTCCACCAGGTTTATAGCCTGCAAACAGTCATGGTAACTTCCTTCATCTGTAGCCTCAGAAAGCAGACTTGCAGGATTCAAAGTTGTACACCACTTCAAAGTCAGGTTTGGAGCAGCAGAAAAGTCTGCTTCATAAGTGGCTAAACAGTGATGTGTAAAGGCTTGAGTATGAAACTGGAAGAGAATGGCAGCAACCTCATGAGGAACAAAAATAGTCAATGGAAAACCCATAACCAAGTCTTTTGAGAATGGAACGAGGAGGACAGTAGCAGCCAACGCTCTCAGGCATCCTCCTACACCACAAGCAATGGGGTCCACCTGTACAGAACAGTGGGCTACAGGTTGCTCTTTAGTAGTCAGAGTCACAAAAAGTTTACAGTAGTTAGCTTTGCAAATGCTGGCATCTAAGGCTTACAAAGGCATCGAGTTCCAAGGAAGGCTCTCACCTGGCACTTGATAGAAGGCAGTGGCAACTGAAGAATAGCATGCCCTCTGGCAGGGAAAAGTCCTCTCGTGCCTGGGTGTATAATATAGCTTAGGAAAGTGATTTTAGGCAAACAAAACTGTAGCTTGGCTGGTGAAGCTTTGTGACCTCATTCTGCGAAACTAAACAGTCAAGTCTTTGGATCTCTGTGGTAGGCTTCAGCGGGTTTTAAAAATGTAACCTAGGACCAGCCCCGGAGTGATTCAGGAACATCCGCCAGCTGAGGAGGTAATGGAGAAGGCTCTCCTGGCTATGTAAACCTCATGGTAAGGAAAAGTTTGGGCCATCTGGAGTACATGGATGGTAGCTCTCTGTTTACAAATTTGTCAGGTAAAAGAAAGGCCTGCTTTAGAAACAATGGACCAATATTGTTGTTAATGCACAGATTTCCTCAACCTCGAATCCATTTTCCCCCATTTCAGTTATCCTTCCCAATCCCTGCAGTTCAAAATCGGCTTTCCCAGGGCACACAGCCGACAAAGCGGCGGCGGCTCTGCATCAAGCAAACACCTGCAATCTTTTCCCTCAATCTGTAACATAACGTAAGGCTCACCTCTATCAGAATGTTCAACAGGCAAAATTGCAGCTTCATTAACCATTTCATTCCCTTCCCATATATTCATCTGGTACAGCATTAACAAGAAATTGCTGCATTAGAGGAGCTGGGGGTGGAAGAATGAAGTTCCGGTAGTCTTTTTTTTTTTAAAAAAAAAAGTGGCCTGGAAAAAACTACGGCCACTGGAAACAAAGTTGTAATTCAACACAAATCCATTTTTCAGTCTCAAAAATGCAAGGGTAAGGCAATCTCAATCTTACATGGTGTGCACTCTGCACATGTAAAGACACTCAGTGAAATCTTGGTGCAGACTCAAAGGATTGTACTGTGTTTGATGTGTGTGGAAGTATTGCAAAAATCCTGAAAAAGTGGGGGGGGGAGGGTTTTTCTGTGGTTGCATTGTATTCCTCCCTCTTTCCTCCTCCTTTTGACCTTCAGTCAATGTAACAAGCAGGTGAGAGGCAAGCTGAAGGAGAGGGTTTGACCTGGGTGAGTTTAAGGCAAATAGGAAAAAAAAATTCTCACGCATTTCAAATAACGAAGAATGGTAGCAATAAACAACAGAAACCTCTTACTTTTTTCTAATATGCACTCACAGTGCACAATACATACACAAGACTTACACACACACCAGAATGAATGGTGGATGCAGGTGTGGCCAGAGCCTGCATCCACTCCCCATTTTTACTGCCTTAGAGAGGCTCAGCTTTTAAAGGGACAGACACATCATTTTTAAACTTTCTCTCTGCAACTCAACAGTTTCTCAGTCTGACATTTTGTTTTATACACATGCACATACAAATCTACACAGACGAATGCTTACAGACAGAAAATGCAGGCACCATCTCTCTCTCCCCCCCCAAAAAATGTGGAATTCAAGCAACCATTCAACAGAGACAGGTAAACAAAAACAAATATATTGTTCTATTACGTATTCTTAAACAAAACAAAGGCTGATTATTCTGACTGTAATGGCATGGTAGTAGTATTTGTCTGGGTACCAAATCTTCTATTAGTTTTAATGGTTTCAAAATACAATCTTGCAATAATTGCCTTAATCTTTCCAGTTGGCTTATTACTCTTACCTTGAGCAAGATTCATAAGGAAAAAAACTGCATGTCAGTGGCAAATTAATTCACAAAAAGAAAACTGCTATAGCTTTAAAATCTTTTTCAATTTTAGCATTAAGCTGAGTATGCCTAAACACTCTTTCAGTGTTTGGTGTAAAATGCATCATGAGTTTCATCACAGCTCTGAACAATTTGTTTTCTGGTATTTCTTGAAGTACTTTTAATTCATTTTGAAGTTAATGTTGCTTCTTGGTCAAATTATAAGGAGACAGTGTTACAATTAGCTTCTGGATTGCAGGGACAAATTTCATCCATGGGGTCCTTGGGGTCCTCTGAGCTTGGTTGTTTTCTTTGTTCTTCTTGGTTTCATTACCAGGCTAGGTAATGTCTTCAGTGCTAGAAAGGAGTAGGGTTTGTTTATATACAGTACAGTGGGATGCCCTGCTAGTGTTGGTGGGGGTGTTGTTTTCTCCTTGGTAGTTTCTGGATTAGGGTATTGTTTACTGCTTGATTTCATCTGAAAGTTGTGCCCAGCAATAGCAGTACCCTATTTTTTCTTCTTTTCACAAAAAAAAAAAATCAAAAGTTTTAAAAGTTTCAGTTGACAACAATTAAAAGTTCCCCATTCTGGCCAGTTTTATTTACCATAGTTATCCAAAAATCTCTGCCATTTTCTGTTTAGAAAAATAGCTTGTTTCTTACCCATTGCAAGTTGAATTGAGAGCTTTCTGGCATCCCAAAGCTGCAGGAACTTTTCAGTAAGCTTGTTGTATGATTCTGAGAGGCAACAGTGCAGCTGCTCCTGTGGTGGTGTTGGCCATTTCCTGTTGTGCTAGCTTTTCATGTTGTTTTTGTGATTCCGTTGTCTACAGTCTAGTTGATTTTATCACAATGTGGGGAGTTCCTGAGGCTTCCCCCCCATGCCCATACACTCCCTTTCGAATACCTGATCTCCTCCATCACAGCTGATTACAGCTCCTTCTCCAACAGGCAATTGTTTTACAAGTGGAAGTGTCTGCGTGATTGTGGGTCCTGCACTCCCACTCTGCTCCACCATGGCTCCTCCCTGGAGAACACAAGACTGGAATCAGGTCAGCCTCATCCCTTTGGGAGTAGGACAGGAGTGGCAGGTCAAGGGAAGGGGTGGAGGGTCTAGTCTTTTGAACCATCATCTGGGCGAGTCATTGCTCAGCCACATCAACCCACAGGACCCAAAAGTCCATTTGGTGGGGATGGTGCTGCCCAATTTGCGCTCAGACTGCACCCAGCACTCTCGAGTCAAAAGGAGCCCCACTTTGGTCACCTCTCCTCCAGTGAAAGGTGTCCAGTGTATCTTGTTCACTTCCCTGTGCACAGTATGACCGTATTCTTGTTTTGGTCATCCCCTGTTGGATGTCCTGCAACTGGACAATGAGCCCCAACTGGCTCCTCAGGGGTGCACTCTTCCCCTGTATCATTTCCTTACCTTGTGTTCTCTCCCAAGGGACTACCAGCTAGCACTTACCTCCTCCTGGTTCCTTTGTTGTCCACCTCCTCCAAAGACACCTTCTGTGACTGAGGCAGGCCAATGTGATCCCTGAGGGGTGCCACGCTGCAATCTCAGATGAGCCCCCAAATTGTTGCCTTTAAAACTCAGGCACCCGAGTTTGGTGTGGAGCTGATAAAATCTTGATCCCTGAGTTTGGGAGAGAACTTACTTTGCAACGGGGCTTTTTCACCTCTCCCAACAGCACGAATCACGAGTACTTCAAGCAAAGTGAAAAGTGTTTACTAAGGGGGGTTCAAGTCTTTTTATACGGTTCAGAAACAAATGATACATGCATTTGGTATATGTGATGCATCAGAAAGCAACTAATCAAACCATAAAAGACATGAATTAGACGTGAGAATTAAACAATAGAAAACATTGATCCTAGATAACATTCAACAAGTCGCAAA